CCGCCGCCATAGATTTGTAACCGTGCAGGTAACTCATCATTGCTCAAGCCCGAAAAAAAAAAGACCTTTGCGGTCAGGTAGCGTGGTTTTATACTTGCCGTTATGCATTGGGAAAGACCTTTTCCATCACAGAACCGTAGGGGAAAAAACCCTCCATAAAGTTTTCGTCAGCTTATGTCCTTGTTCGCGGTTGTAAAGTATAATTTATTGCTCAATTTTGTTGCACCAATGAATTTCCAAAATTGCGAGTTGGGTAGACCTGGGACAAATTACTTCAAGTTCATAAATTTTTTGATTGGCACCTCTCAATGATTTACTACAGTAATCTTTTTCTTGTTTCAAGCTGGCACTAAACCGCGACAAGATCAGCGAATTTATCTCCTGGTGATTGATAATGTGATTCACAACCAGAACCAAACCAGAAGGGTTAACGAGCGAATAAGCATGCTGATACGCAATTCTGCGGACATGAAGAACGTGTCGTAGACCAGTGATTTATAATTGCGAGCGTTTTATGACTGTCTCAGTGATTAATCAGACATCGGTGGAGTTTTATGACAGCGGTAAAAAGGCGTAACGAAACGGCTATTTAGACAACTCTAATTGCTGCTTTGATCGCAATGTAAACTCCAATCGGTCTGGCTTGTATTGTCAAAACTCTTCCAAGTTGGAATTTTACTATGTAGACAAAGCTTTCAGAAACCATAGTAGTAATCCGCTGTTTTTTTTCCTATCAAGGAAAAAAGTATCTTGATTGAACTTTCAGATCTTTCGCACAGATTCATCATCAAGTGGATATGCTGCGCTGTCTTGCAGAAGTATAGAGCGCTAGGAAATTCATTCTCGACTTACTTCCTTACAAATTTCTACTTTAAAAGGTTGCATTTCTGCGTAATGCATACTGTGCATTTACACTTAGTATAGCGATGCTCCTTCATCTGGATATATGAGGTAAATAACCAATTGAAGGCCATGGTGAACTGTCTGTCATTAGAAGAATGAAATCAGCGGGCATAGTGAGCATGAGCTTATAGAAAAAGCGTGTGTTATTATCGGAATCGGAATTTACCCATTTTCCTTCCCACTTTATCCACTTCTTTCTTCAGAAAATGCCTGCATACCCGTTCTATCAAATAGTTCTAAATTCATCTGTATAATTTTCAAACATAATTCTTTTAACCGGGAATCCGTTAATGTCTATTAGAAATGTTGAAAACCTTTATGATGTCATGTCATGTCCACGATTATTCATCGTTCCTGATTTAATGTAATTACTTTCCCAACAAAAATAATCGGATAATCGTTCTCTTTCGAGAACTTATTTGACGAATTTTGTCGCCAAGTATAGATATGCTATGGTTGATAATAATATGGCAGACTAAGGCACAATTCCTCATAGCTAATATGAAACCAAAATGTGACGATTATTAACTTCTCAAGGAGAATGCTTGTAACAGATCTTTCTTTAATTAGCTACTTGAGCTTGCATCATATGGTATGAACACCCTATTTTACCCTGATACTACCTAATCTGTTGTGATTGTTTTTGAGGCTCAAATGGTTATAGCAAAATAAGATTGGAAAGATTTTCTGTCGTAAGATGAAAGTATATTAGTGTAAAAAGAAAATGTAGCTCGTCTTTAAGCTATCAAATTTAAAGCTTATAATCCATTGCACTTTTGACATCCAAGATTAAATGTCATTTTTACCTCTTAATCCCTTCCATCCACCTAGTATTGCTTAGGACCGAGATTTTTTCTCCTGCATATTACTCAACCTGCATAAGAATTCTCCTATTTACCTAATTTGG